CCACAAATGTAAAAGGGGTTTATAGTCAAACAAACAAACAATGTGAATGCGTGGGTGGGTGCGTAGGTGGGCAAAACTTAAAACCCCCCCCCCCCCCATAGCAGCCTCCCCAGAAAAATTTTGAAAATTTTAAGACCGGTTGCAAGACAGGTCAGTCAGACAGACAGACAGACAGACAGACACCAGGTACTTATATGTATAGTAGTATGATATTTAGTAAACGGTACAGTAAAAGTTATTCAAATTTCTGTTATACATTGTTAGTTTATCTTTTGCATCATGTATATATCATAGGTTTCTCTTTTATTTGGTCAAACGCTCGAACCTCCTTAAAAACTATAATAGCCTTGACATTTGTACATAAGATTTGTGTCGTATTGTTAGAATATTCTAACAATATCAAAATTTGTTAGTGAAAGTGTTATCGAGCTTTTTGGAACACCCTGTATATCAAAATAAGCTAATTCTTTTCATATATTGCCATTTGCATTAACAATTTTTATCCAATATAGATTTATAAAACATTAATAAAATATTATTTTTATTATGTTAACTAAATACATATTTAATGAGAAAGCATATCATATATTAATATTTCCAGCAAAAATAAGGTTTAGTAATATTTACCAACAATTAATTAACTATAAAATTTATTGCAAAATTTTACTAATCTACAAAATGCAAAGAGAATGCTTGGTACATTTTAATAATTTATGTTGTAAATATAAATAGCTATATGCATTGTAACGTGTAAAAAAATTAATTTATTTTATGTATAATGCAAAATGTTGTTTCTCACATAACGTTTTTTTTCACACATGATGTTATAATTTGAAATAAATGGAAACCTTAATTAAAACTACATTGTCATTACTGGTCAATTAGATTTAAAATAGCGTGTAATTGAATTTCGATGAATACTCCAAGTTTATAAACCGAGCGGTAAGTCTCGTCACGCGCATCTGGACGTTAAAAATAATGCGTTGCGCATGTGCTAATTCTGGTAATCTATATTTACATAGCTATTCCGTACAAATTCTGCTTCAAGTATCCTCACGGGCAAATAAATCCTTGATAATGCACGACCGTTTCTCCGTGAAAGCAAGGCGAAATATAGTATATTCCTTGGCCGTTGAATTCGTTCATCGATAGTAAACTTGGAAATTGGACATCGGTACCTCTCATCCACTGGAATATTTCCTAGTGGAAAGCACCGTGTGAGTCAACCAGTTCACGTGATGTAAATACACGTGATTCAGATTAATTCGAGTCCAACTCTAAGCCAAACTGTACTCGGCGAAACGAATCTCTCTAATTTATATTCGCTAATAAAGATCAAATGAACATAGGTACTTGCGGAATTGACATCAATTACTCCGAATGTTCGCAAATGTTAATGAGTGTTCGAAGTTAGTTATTAATATATTAACTGAAAAATTTACGTTATGCGAATTTATCTTTCATAAAAGTTTATTTTTCAGAAATTTACAAAAAAATAGTAAAAATAATTTATTATACTCTTGTCGACGAAGATTTTCGTACAAGCAATGCATAAAATTTTCACAAGAACACACATAACATTTCTTTGGAAATATGCCAAATTCAACACGTAGAAGCAGAACAAACTACTCTTTTTTAGATTAACGTATAGTATACTATATGCAAAAGAATTGCCGCGTGAAGGTCTCTCCCTCTTCTCTCTCACCCCTCTCTTCCCTTTCCTACCAACGTTTCTCGTTCCATCTTTCTCCCTCCCTTTCTTTCTTATCTCCACACTGCTATTTCTTCTCAATTATTCCCTCTTTTTTCTCTCTACCCCTCCTTCCTTTTTCTCCTCTTGCCTCTTCTTCTCCCTTTAATTATTTCCTTTATTGTTCCCTCCTCACAGTTTTGCTATCTCTTTTTTACTCTATCGTCTTTTCCCACCTTTTTCTTGAATAAAAAAAATTCTTAAGACTCTTGAGTGCTCGACGCCATGTTGAATCGCGACGTCTGAGAAATGATACGATAATTCTTCTGTACTATTTTCAAATAAAAAGATATTTGGATGAGGCAACACCTCGGATTGCTTTAATATACTTATAAAATTTTTCGAAAACTATCCTTTTCTCTTGACAGCTAATAAACAGCTGTAAAATGTGACTGAGATACAAATCTTACAATTAGTCATGATTAGGCTTGTATATGCGCGACGTCATAGTTAGGATTCGTGTTACATTCACATTTTACGGTTATTTATTAACTGTTCAAGGGAAAAAGATAATTTTCGGAATATAAGTGTGCTAAAGCGATCTGAAGATTTTACAGTTTTAAATATTTTTTTATTTAAAACTGGCACGCAAGAATTTTCAACATGGCTCTGACGAACATGGAACCTTACTAACAATCGTCAAAGTGAACTTCACAAAACTCATCACTTTAACACATGTCGAACGGCTGTATAAGCTATAAACGCTAAATTTTTTGTCGTTCTTGCTCATTGGCTGATTTTATGAGAAGTCGATCCAAATATTCAAAGCGACAACTATTGCAACTACTGTAGTAATATGAAGTTACTTCAATCATGGCACTTTCTTTGTGAGATATATGTATTACATATGCTTAGGTAGGAGTCAGGGTCTATCCAGCCATACTTGTATATGTGCTTAAGCATATGTGCTTAAGCATAAAGAAATTGATTGGTCTACTTCGTTATACATACACTTATGGCCCAAGCAGATTCCTTATGCATACGTTTATACGCTAGGCAAATTTGTCTGGATAATTAGTTTAGAACTTTAGGCAGTTCTTTTGTTGTGCATATGAAACTATGCAATTTTGTGTGTGATTTCTATACAGTACATACATTTCTATACAGTAAAGTTTAGACCAATC